ATAAATTCATGAAATTAAGGATTAAAAATTAATGACATCTGAAATTGTCACACATTTACTTCTTTCTTTATAAGTAATTCTTATCTGCAGAGTTATCAAAAACACTCAGTCTTGTCGGCAAGGTCGGTAAGGAATTTTCTGGACCGATAACGTACAAGAAAACAGTGGTCCAAACGACCGTTTAAAACATTGAACGTGATGCAAATTTCTAAAACGCTGTGCCTAGGTAAGGACCACAAAACACCGAAATCGTCCGTATATGGTGACGATTGTCGATCAAAATTGTTAAAGCATGTCTCTGATTAGAGACTCTGTATCATAAGATAGGATTTTTTGTGAGATCGAATATCATAAAACTTAAAAGGCATCTTATTTTAGTGCTACTATTTTTTCCCTTTATCAGCGATTCAGCGCATGTATCTGGTCTGACAAAACTTTGTCCAGTCTAACAGATCATTTGACTTTGTCAGACCTAATGTCTGACAGTGATTCAAAAATTTTGACATCTCTGCTCCGAAAATCACTGCACAGTAAATTCATTTACAGTTGTATAGACTTTACATTTGTATCTGTCCTATACTTAGAAGCATAGGTGAAATATTTGCAAGATTTTGCCATGGTTTATTTCCTTCATCACATGACTATTAATTGTTTGGAAGTTTGAAAAATAACAATAAAAAAAGTTTCAGCTTGTTATATGATCTAACGTAAACGGTCATAATTTGTTGTTTTTCTCACTTAAAATTTACATACGTACATGTAGTTCGAATGTCAGACCTGGCTGTTCCGACTTATTTTATCAAGAATTTCATATGTGAAATGCTTATAAATTTTATGCCACATGAAAACAACTTGAAAACTCAAAAAGCTTAATTTAGTAATTTATCTTAAAGTTTCACTTTCTGTGTACGTTAATCACCTTCTCTCCGATTTTCTTCCTCTTCGATGTTAAACGTGTTAGGATTCAATATTAAACGAACAATTGTTTATATCCAAATCAATGTAATTTTTTTTATTCTTTTGATGTTTATTGTATTACCAAATAAATATTGTTGAAAACTTCGAATATTTATGGCTAAAAAAAGGTATTACATTGATTGTGAAATAATTTTTACCACGTGTCAGCAGAGACATATAAAAACCTTATATGTCTCTGGTGTCAGTCAATGCAAAGAGGTTTCGCGCAGTCATATAGTCACTTGTACAGAGTTGTCGTTAATTTCCCTCTCATTGTTTATAGGTGCCGCTGTATGTGCTGCAAAGGAGGTTCATGACGACAATTTTCAACATTTTTTTAGTTCTGTATAAATCAATTTTAATTTAATCAAAATATAGTATTCAAATTAAGTTAAATGAAATTCAATTGATTTAGTTTCATATCATTTATCAAAATTAGATAAATTCAGAAAATTGAAATGGACTATTTTATGGCGGACGTTTATGCAAGTTTACATTGAATATCACAGGAGTAAATTGGTCGACACAGAAGCCCCACGGACGGCCACTATATAATCAATACAAATTACTGCGCTTAGAAAGCCCGTGATGACCAAGGGAGATTGAACATAGTTCAACTCCCAAAAACTACTATTATTCCTCTTTAGTATTACATCAGAATTTCCTAAAAAACTGTAATTCTACATAATGCCTAAACAACACATATCTTTGGGGATTTTGGCATTTTGCCAAAATAAGAAAATTTCCATTTCAGACCCCTTTTCAAAGTGATTTTTGTATCCTTTGCACACTGATTTGAAATTTATAAAGCAGTGCATTATATAGATGGTACATAAGTTAGTCTAAACACATAAAAATATCTATGGGACATTTAAATATTTTTTTAAGAAAGCTGATGAAAAATTACTCAAAATCTACAAAATTTCCATATTTCAAGGAACATATGCACATTTCATCATGTTCATATAGAAAAGAAATGTTTCCTTTCTACCTGTTTAGATGTCACTTATAGTAAAAGTAGTCCATATGTAGGAGATGTGTCATGTAAAAATATTCACATCCCATTTCCATAAGCATTAAGATATGTTGGAATGTAGTATGTCTGTCTGTCTGTCCAACTCCACAACATGAGTAAACATGACCTAAATTGTATGTGTATCCTGTCATTTGCAGTGAATTGACCAATCATCAAATTATAATTCATTAACAATCCAAAGTATTATTGTTTCCTGCTAATCTTTATGCAATATGTTCCTTTAAATAATGTTTCTTATACATGTATATATAAAGCTGTTCTTAGCTAAGAGAACTGTGAACACCCACACAAATGCCCCCCCCCCCCCCCCACCCTCCTTCTGTAAAATTGACAAATTTGAAGTACATGTAGACTGATCACGGCATGTCTCCAGTTTCCTGAAACTATCCCCTTAGGTTGAAACTAATATATATGAAATAACAGTTTTTCTATGCATTCTCTGTTACCATGGAAACAGGAATGCAAGATTTGTTACCATGGAAACAGGAATGCAAGATTTTTAACCAAAATGGCTAAGTTGTGTTTAACAATCTTGCCAAAACTACACTTATTAAACCTTTTATTATACCTATGTAGAATTAAACCTGATTATTATATTTTTTAAAACTAAATTATTGACATTTTAGATTTGCATTTTTATGATGTTGCAAAAATATTTTGAATATTTTAATGCTTTGTCAAATAATGGCAAAACCTTATGGGTTTTTTTTTTTCAAGATTTGGTCAAACTTGAAAAATTCTGGGATGAAAGATAACAAGAGGTCCAGGGGCCACATCGCTCACCTGAGCACTATGGCTAGGAAAAAGCAGAAATCAGTTCAGTCTAGAAAGGTTGAAAAGTTTAAATAAAAAAGTGGGGGGTGGGGGGGTGGGGGGTGGGGGTCATGAATTGAACAAATTTGAATCTACATTATCTGAGGATGCTTCCACATAAATATGACCAACCATGGCTTTGCTGTTCTTGAGTAGAAGATTTTTAAAGATTTAACCTATGTATTCCTATGTAAAACTTTGATCGCCCATTGTGTCCCCGTCCGACCCCCGGGGGTCATGATTTGAACAAACTTGAATCTACACTACCTGAGGATGCTTCCATGTAAATATGACCAATCATGGCTTTGCTGTTCTTGAGAAGAAGATTTTTAAAGATTTTTCCTATATATTCCCATGTAAAACTTTGATCGCCCATTGTGGCCCCACCCGACCCCCGGGGGTCATGATTTGAACAAACTTGAATCTACACTACCTGAGGATGCTTCCACATAAGTTTCATATTTTCAAGCACAGTGGTTCTTGAGAAGAAGATTTTTTAATGATGCCATTAATTTTTCACGAATTCTTAATTATCTCCCCTTGGAAGAAGGCGTGGCCCTTCATTTGAACAAACTTGAATCCCCTTTACCCAAGGATAGTCTGTGCCAAGTTTGGTTGAAATTGGCCCAGTAGTTCTGGAGAAGAAGATGAAATTGTGAAAAGTTTACAACGACAACAACGACAACGCCGACGACGACGGACAACAGACAAATTTTGTTCAGAAAAGCTCACATGAGCCTTCGGCCCATGTGAGCTAAAAAAACAAGCAGGACATTCAAAATATGTTACTCATTTCAACTTAAAGTATTTGTCACAATTTATGAAAAGTTCATGGGCAACTGCAAACCAGAGGTACTGTGAGTGAGGTGAAAAATTTATAAACCCCCCCCCCCCCCCGGATTCTTTTTTTAAAACTTATGAAACATGACCTTGAACTTGATAAAATGACATTGGTTAAAGTAATTTCACATCCTCTGGTGATAAGTAATTCTGGACTAAAATATAAACATCCAACGTTTCTCCATTGGAAAACTATACACCTGACATGAATTTTTTCACCTTTCCTGCCAGTGATCTTCAGCTTACTACATTGACCTTGGGTCAAGGTCATGACATACTTTTAGCTCAATTTATGTTTGAATTTTCAACTTCCATAAATTTTCTTTATATTTTTTTATTTTGCCAGTAACCTTCAACTTGCCAGAATGATCTTGGATGGCACATCCTCAAGTCATGATTAATCTTTATGCCAATTATATGTCTTAGATAAGACTGCACAGACAGACAAGGTGATTCCTATATACCCTTACTCCAAAACTTCGTTTGAAGGGGGTGGTACAGTACAAATGTACGCATGAAATTGGCAATATGTAAAAAAAAAAAACCAAACAAAAACAGCTTTTGTGAAGATTTCACACAGCATTTTGTACTATCTTTCTTTAAAATAAATCGACAAATCAACAAATCCAAGCTTTTAATCTGTATCATTCTGACATTGTTTAAAGCAAGTAAAATAAATTTTTAAAATAATGTCATTAATATCACGTAAAACCCCCACACTCCACCCCCACCCTTCATATTCCTCACACACAGAAAGCCAAATCAGTATCACTACACTACAAAGTCTGCATCAGTTTCCAAACACTGAAATCTAAAATACAATTAATTCTCAAATAAAAATATTACTCTCACAGGATTTATCATTTTTGAAGTCTGCAAAAAGCTTCCCTCTGTCTGTCAAAGACAAAATTTTGTTAAAGCATGCATTAGTGTAATGCACATCCATTTGAACTGTTGATAAACTGATACACAGAAAGACAGGTGGACATAGGGAACCCTATATACTGTTTTTTGGGACCTTAAGGTCAAGATCTAGTAAATGAAAAGAGCCTACAGATTTCTCAAACTTGAGAAATAAATTCCTTTTATGATGCTTTATAACTATAGCTCAGTCAAATAAGGTGTATCGGGGCATAATTTGCAAGAAAACAAGATGAAAAACCATCTTGTAAACTGTCATTTTCAATGAAAAATTAAGAAAGCCAGTCACGAATATGGGAGTTTTTTCCATATCAGACGAAAGAAATGTATTCAGATTGCCTACAGTCTCTCAGAAAACGGTAATTTGTATGTTCTTAGCCTCTTCTTTAAAATAATGTAAAATTGAATATAGGCAAATTGAATGACATGAAAATACTTTATTTTCTACACAATTCTATTGGAGCTGTAAAGTACGGGAAAAGGAAAGTTTAAATTGATTATGACGTCATAATGGATCTAGCACCGAAAAGACTGTCTAAAGTCATTTACTAGATCTTGACCTTAAACAACAGATTATTAATACATGCATAATTTTACTTTTTAGTACATGAGAAAATTATACATACAAATTTAAACAAAGTGTTTGTCATATAATTAATAATTAGGTTTGCAGTGGATCATCTGTATTCTGTAAAGCCAGTTGAAAATTGTGAAATATTGTCCCCCACATGTATCATTTTAAGGAAGTTCTTCCTTTCACTTTCCAATTTAAGTTTCATTTTAGGTTCCTGCCAACATCTCATCACATCAGCTTAGTCAATTTCCTTCTCTTTATTCATGTAAATATAAATTCCAAAAACAAAAGAGAATTTTTTAAACTTTTTTTATATATGCCACCTTTACGGTATTCTCTGTAAATCTTGTCTCTGTTTTTTTTTTTTTTTCACTTTTAGAGCCCATCTCATTTCTTTTGTTGGTCAGGCATGTAATGACCTACATTGACATATGCAAGTAACACTGATAATTAGTTAATGAGAATTATGCAGAGTTGAGTTTTTCTGGCAAGGTACAGGATGAAGCTTGATAAGTTCTAAAACAAACTGTAATATGGGCGTTCAGATTTGAAGATGTCCTCATATGTCTTTCTTTAGAATAAACATGTTCCTGTTACATTTGAACTTTGACAGCTCAAACATTGATATCTTGAAGAGAATGGGTACCAGTATGTTGAAGTGGGTTGGAGTTCAGCTTTCACTTTCCTGGTTTTAAACCTAAATGATATGGCATCCCTACTCAAATATGTTTGAGGTGAAATTTTCAACCTGCAACAGTAAATAATACCTGCATTTTCCAATATACACTGATTTCAAGCTAAATTAAATGTTTATGCAATCGCTTTAGAAAGTTGTTTTCTTTGTGCTGATTATAAGAGTTATTCCGTTACTGGACAGGAATTAAATTATATAAAATAAACAAAAGGAATAAGCAAAGTTTAAATTTAGGTAAACTGGAATATTTTGTAACAATTTAATTTATTTTCATATTTTAAGAATGGTCACCTTGTAAAGAAAAAAAGCTGTCCATTTTCTTGCAGAATGCACCATAACTTCTACAGTCATGGCCTATTTGGTCCTGTTTTGGTGTACTGGTCTCATTTTTTCTTTATTCATCTTATTTGGTAAATCCTTTGATAAAAATTAATGAAAATAATTATTTTCCTAGGAACATGATCAAAAGGAAAATTCACATAAGTCATACACAGACATGTTCATGTATGTAGTCATCTTACCAGTAGTGAATATTTGCCAGAGTATCAAATAATTTGTATTGAATTTTATAGAAAAAAAAAACATGGTGAGTGGTTTAAAAAAATTATCATTAATAGCTAGTTATAATTCAGAGATGAATATTTTAAATGTATGTAGTTTTTTTAATTATGTTTTTAATACTAATATATATGTACATATATTTTTTTTACACTGTTTGCTATTTGAAAAGATTATACACAGAATTGAAGTATACATATACAGTACTTCACAGATGAATGAAAAGTCTATATAAACAAAAATAACTCAGTAAATATTTTCAGTGCATTCTTAACCTAAATTGATTATGTCAGTACATGTAGTACATTTTTGGATATATCTAATAAGTTTAAAGATTAAATGATAATGGCCTTTTGAATGGAATTATGACATCAAAACGGACTTGCTGTTTTCCAATTTTCTGCTTATGCATGAACATAGGAAGTTCAAATAGTGTCATTTAATAGGATAAACAATGAGAAAAGCTGACAGAAGTGGAAATATATATTATAAAGATAAATGATTTTCACATAAAATTGTGTCCCAGCACATCACAAAAAGTAAATCTACTTATAATGGCACAAATTTTTATACATTTATATTTTGGGGGAAAAAATCAGTTGTATCAGCAAGGAATATTTATATGCTTCATATACACTTTTTCTCAATGGCATATTTGAAAAAAAAAATATTAATTTATTGGTAAGAAAGTCAAACCGTCAAAAGGTATAGGGCGCTTAATTTGATAAGGAAGGGCTAGGAATCACCACCTACCGGTAAAAAAAACTGTGTAACGTTAGGCAAATAAAATTAAGGAAATATGCATTGGTTAAACTTTGCATTTTTGTGATGATCAGAGTATACATAAATTTACCTTCTGTCTTCATTGTTTTAGATGTCTGGGCTTCTTTTCTTCTTCCAGACTGTAAAACTTTGATGAGGTCTTTCGCCAGAAAATGTTAAATGTTCATACCATGTTTTATTGTTTACTACTACACACCTCCAAACGTTAGAGAGTAGTTCAAGGGAAGTAATTAGGAAGCAGAAATGCTTCAAAATGTAGAAAAAAACTAATCTTTACCTTTGAATTTCTTTTACACCTTTGAATCTCCCACCAATATTTTACATATTTTGATATAATCAAACATCAGCCTTTCATAATTAATTATTATTTGTAATCAGTGTGCCTTTTTTGTTTTAAGTCTCCAAAAACTCCATGAAACTAATCATCTATCTGATATGTTATACTATATAACATGACCATTTACTATTGTGAAATTAAATGAAAACTATAGATATCGTTGCTTTCATCTGTAGTATTAGATATAAATAATTAAAACAAATTAAGTTATCTCTTTTCATTTCTAGATACAATTTTTTCTGATAAGTACATGTTTTTCATAATTAACGACAGTGAGGAATTTTGCATCCCGTTTCTATGGCAACCAAGGGTCTATTTCATAAACCCACTTTAGATTTTACAATTAATGACACAACTGTATAAAATTATTATTAGAAAATCAAAATGTTTTTCTATGCGTGGCCAACCTATTTTGATAATTACAGAGAATTGATATTAAAGTCTATTTAAACAATACATATTATGAGCAGAGCCAACACGGACCTCTGAAAACAGAGGTTGGATCAGGTTCCATGGAGGAGAAAGCATTCCCTGTCGACCGATCACACCTGCCATGTGCTCCTTGTCATGATCGGGTAAACGAAAAAAAAATCGTAGTCAATTCAGTGTGAAAGTAATGGCCTGATATTTTTTTTTTTTTTTTGGAAAAACGTCAGTTAACATTAGACCCAAAGACAGATTGTATTTACTAACAAGGTCATTGTCTCGACAGTAGAAATTGCGCAATGTTGAATCTATTATCACGAGATTGTTGATATCCTTGTATCGTCAACCTATTTTCAAGAGTCTGTCTCGTGTTTAAGAAATTTTACGTACATGTACATAGAAAATGCTCTTCTGTATCGAATTAGCTGGGAGACATAAACGCCATATGCAGGTGATAATGGTATAATGGAAGTTGCCGATTGAAAAAAAAATTGAAGTCATCAAAAAGTTTATCAAAAAGTTTATTTATGAGTTTGCCATCAATGTGTAAAGAAATATTAAAAGATTTAAAAACATATATCTACTTCTTTCAGTATAGACCATCTTAGAACCATTCTAGAGTCTAAACCCTGAATACCATATCATTACAGTAAGTCATTAACGAAAGAAAGAAAATTTTACACGTTTTTTTTAAGTGTTTCACAAAAAAAAGGTGAGTATCAAGTTAGCCCAGTGGATACCCCTTACCAGTGAGTAAATCCACAAATACGAAATAGATCTAACAGCTTTTGTCTCTGTAGAAAGTATCAATTCCATTAGGCCACGGCTCACACAGAAATACTAGATTAAAAGTAGTATTTAAATGTTTGCTCATGGAGTGGTGTAATACTTGGTAGAACAAGTTAAGGAAAATAACTCTGTATTTGTTGATATTATTGCAAAATCTAAACGTGCAAATTATGGATTTTGTTGTTCGAGTAATTGAATATTATATTGAAAATATAACAAAAAATACCGAACAAGTATGAAAAATTCCTTTTTTTTTTTTTTTTTTTTTTTTTTTTTAAGAATTTTAAAATCTTTGATTTTATACAACATACTAGTACTAGCATTAATTGATTCAAAGCATGCAAGGCGCGTAAGGATAAGGACAAAAAGGAATACAGAATCAGGGTTTTTCGCATTTTTATTATATCATATAGTTTTTACATGCAGCAGAAAATCCACAATTTATCATATTGTATTAAAGAACACACAGGAAATATATTTCTCGGATATTATGATAAATATTTTTTTATATAGATATGCTTGAAATAAACGTAGTGGGTAAGTCACAATGAATTACGTCAGACATGCAAAATATATCATTTATAAGAAACAAGTCTCTACAGTATACATGTATGTATCAGTACAAAGCACAGCTAGGTGAAGAGCAGATATATGTATTCTAATTCCGCTAAGTATGTATAATTTTTCGTCTCCAAACTTCTGTGTTTCACTGGTTTATATTCCCAGTATAGCCACTTTTAGCTTTGTAAATAAGAAAGTATTATACATGTAAAAAAATTATTTTTATTTCACTTCATGTAGCAATCTTATTTAAAAAGAAAGAAGGTTAAGGACCGGGGCAATATTTATCACCAATCTGGGACCGGTGCAAAAGAGTTGTGGTCCAATATCTTACAGAATGTCCCATCCTCATTTTTTATTTTCGCTCTTCCCCCTTTTTATTCTTTCATTTTTTTCATTTTATTGTTTATTTCCCCTCTCTTTTCAATTTTGTACTCTGTACTCAATTAAAAATTAGTCTAAAATACGTCTTTGTAAAACTACAAATATATATCATTGTTATATTTGTACCTTGATCTCTAATGAAGAGAACTATTAGACCAATTTCGCCTGCTGTTTAATCCCTGTTCATTACATATACTTCTATGTTTACCAAATAAAATAATTCTTAAGCCAAATCCTCATTTTTGTGTTAAAACAAATGTCCCAGAATCGGCCTTTTAGAGGGGTGGGGTAAATAACCACCCATACTCTTTACTTAAAAAAAATGGAGGATTTTCATTTTTCAACACTTAAGTGAGGAAATTTTAATGTGAGTTTGGATTAGACACTTATACGTATAAATGTTGTATTTAATATAAAATATGAGCCATATTTTCATTCAGTTTAATCTATTATCTGTTTTGACATTTGGAAATGATTCTTTAAATCACTGATTTAGGGAGAAAATGAATTTCTTCGATTTTAAGAAGACGTAAGTTTTCATACAACCCATTAAACATCATTTTAAGGTCAGTCAATTGATTTAGTGAGTTCTATTTATTGACCATAACTTTTGTTGGGTTTTTATTCAATGAAATTTACAAATTTATCATTAATATCTAGACAGTTAAGAAATGCTAAAGGTGGCGGGAGACAGTTTCACACAATCGAGGCCACGTCAAAATTCTTGGGGGAAAGAAAATGGAGAAAATGAAAAAGGAATTAAAAGTTTGATTGGAGAGTTTAAAATACGAGGAATAGTAGACCATGTATTATAGTAAATCCTCTTTCACGAAACACACAGAAATGACTTTAAAAAGAAACTAGAGGTACTGTGAGTACTGAGCTCACAAAATGATACCCTCCGCCTCCCATAGGTTTATAATGGCAAACTCCATGTTTTACTATGGGAGACTCGAAATAAGTGTCCGATCAAAAAGTAAAATAGGAGGTTCAAAATGGCACTATGTAATAAAGATTCTGTGAAAGTCTCATTAAATTTTATTCAGTATTATAGGAGGAGTTGCGGATAAGAGATGGATACCCCTCAATATTATAGAAAGAATGACAGTGTCCATGTTTTCCGTTTCGAAACCCGAAAAAGTAAAATGGGAGGTGCACAGTGGCACTATGTAATAAAAATTCTGAGAAAGTCTTATTAAATTTTATTCAGTGGTATAAGAGGCGTTGCGGATAAGAGACGGGCACCCCTCAACATTATGGAAAGAATGGCCGTGTCTATGTTTTGCTATTGGAAACCCGAAATATGTGTCTGATCAAAAAGTAAAATAGGAGGTGTACAATGGCACTATATAACAAAGATTCTCTGAAAGTTTCATTAAATTTTATTCAGTGGTATAAGAGGATTTGCGGATAAGAGATGTGTACCCCAAATCGTGACTGACAGACCATAGAACTTGATATTCTTGTTTCATCAACTTGTTTGTTAATAACTTACCACATTTTAGAAATTGTAGAGCATGCTCTTCCGTATCGAATCAGCTGAATCAACTACCCACCCAAAATGCAGGTGATAAGGGTATATTGCTGCATAAGTAAGGGAAGTTGAAGATTGAAAAGTTAAAGCCATAACATTTTTTCATAAAGCTTTGATGTTAGATTGCCATAACGTCTTTTTCTAGTAAAATATCCAAATATGAAACAGATGTGTCACACACGTGGTGTCTTTTATTTCAAGCTCACTAAGATATATCGTGTCGACATAGAAAGGAAATAACTATTATAAGATTTTGAATAAATTCTGCTTCAAATGAATACAAAAATAGGTCTGCTAATAATGGGGCGCCATTGGTACCCATGGAAATTCCAACAGATTGTTGGAAGACATAGTCTCCAAAACCCACATAGATATTGTCAATCAGAAACTCAAGCATCTTTCTAATATCAACTTCAGAGTACTTGTGTGTACAATCAGAATGTTTTTCAACAAAATAATTTTGCAAATGACCAATGACGAGGTAAGTTAATACGAGTTCCATTTCTATTTAAAAAAAAAAAAGCCGTTGTCAATGATGTCAAAAGCCTGGACTTTAATTTATCGGCGGGAATGGTTGCATAAAGAGTTGAAAAGTCGTAAGTTTTTATGCTATTGATTTTGGTAAAATTTTGTGATGTATTACCCATCACCATGTTAAGGTCAGTCAATCAATATTGATGAGTTCTCTTCATTGACCATAACTTTTTAATTTTTCAATGAAATACGACAAATTTGATATTGCTTTCCTTGTTTAGCATGTATTTCCTAAAAAAAAAAAATAAGTATTAATTTCCAGAAAATTTGGAAATGTTTGGAAAGGCCATGTCAAAAAGAGAAAAGCGGAATTCGAGGGCTTACAAAAGGTACTAAAGTATTCATGTATGACTATAAAGTATAAAATACAATTATATAAATATTATATTTAGTCCCACAGATACTTGTATATTATATATGTCGATTCATTTGATATGAATATTTTTGTTTCAGTTTCATTGAGAAGGAATGTGAATATCTATTCTATATTGTTCTTCTAGAAAAAAAACAAAAACAAACTCGCCTCCCAATTAAAAAGAAAAAAAAACATGCTTTGAAAAACAAGAAGAGAAAATCAATATTTTGTACTGGTCCCAC